TGACCAACCATTTTACCTCTGTCTTTTTATGCAGGAGAAATGGAATTACAAGTCCATTACTAAGACTTTTACATGAATGTTGATGTAAGTTTTACCTGTAATAGCCCCAATCTGAAACAACCCAAATTTGCTTTAACAGAGAATGGATAAACTACTCCACATAATGGAGTACTACTCATCAACTGAAAGCAATGCAGCAGACAGAAAGACTAGTAACAGCTGACTGGGATGAAGGGGAGAGATCATAATTGATCAAGGAGGAAACTTATGAAGCAACAATTTTAAAATACTCATTGTCCTGATTGTGGTAATAGTTTCAATGGTATATACAAATGTCAAAACTATCAAATTATACCATTTAAGTATGTGTAGTTCATTTTATAACAATTATATCTCAATAAACATTTTCTGAAACATCAAAAGCATGGTACAGTATAAAACTTATTTGCAAAATGACTTCAATACCATCTATTTCATCTGGTTGTAGTCAGGACTAAATGGGGTCATGTAAACAAAAAGCACCATCTCTAGTCAAAAGGTAATAGAGATTATATTGTGTGGTGGCTAATAACAGTACCACACACAATTTTTTTTTCTTTGGCAATTTATTTTATAACCAGTACATTGGAACATTTATTTTCTTTACACAGAATTGATTACAGTTTTCCCTTACAACTAAGAGATAGAAGAAAACTTTTAGGCAGAATAGCTAAAGGCCTAACAGAATTCTATTAGGATAAAGACTAGAAGCAAAGGTGAAAAGGAAAGTAAAACAAGTAAAGAAACTAATCTGTAAATACCTATTAATGTGGCATGCTTTAATCAACTCAAGTGTTTAATAGAATGCCTCAAAAATTATGTTAAGAAGGTACCACAGAAAAATAGTTTTGTACTTTATTTGGTTTGTTTATTCTTATTAAATAAAGACAAAAAAGTAGAATGCCAGAAGTATAAATTTCAATTTAATACCATGGAGTGTTTATGAAAAGGATGTTACCAAAAATTTGAAAATAGCCTTAGATCAAAACTCTACCTTAACACAAGAAGATCTTGAAAGAAGCAGTTCAATCAAATAATGCCAAAACTACTATTCTAAGTTATTAGGTATTTTGTTTCATCTTAATATCAGTTACTGAACTCAGAAAACTCACTGAAAGAAGACACAAAGGTTTCAAGGGAGCCAGGTACTGAAATTCAGTTGTCTCTGCTTATCAGGTTTGTATGCACTGATACATGGCTGTATACCATGAAGGAAGAAAAGGAGCACATTATCTTGGAGATTTAAGCATCAGATCACTTCTTAAAAGAGAAACCCATCTAATGCACCGAAGTTCCGATAATACGGGGAAAGTCTAAATTTTTTTTTTACAACATACAAAGGAGGTCTAATTTAGATACATTAATCCAAAATGAGAAATGACAGTATCTAAATGTATAGGAGTCTTTTCATATATATTATTTAGTTTTATCCTTACAACAAATAGGTATAATTATTCCTCATTTACAAACAGTAAATGAGGTTCAGAAAAGTTAAATAACATGTTTAAAATTTAAGTGGGGTGGAACTGACATTCAAATCTAACTTCCTGATTAAAAACAGGTATGTTCTTATTAAATAATACCAATCCTAACTTCATGAGGCTGCAAATGCTTTTTTAACATTTAAAGGAAACGCTTGATGATCCTCTGAACAATCTACAAATCTTGCAATGTCAATCACTGAAAGATCTACTAATGACATTTTAAATGAATTACATGGTTAACAGTTTAATTTTAAGAAAAAAGAAGAAAGCTCCAGTCCCCATGTAAACTGTGAAGATTTACCTGAATGAAAAGGAAACTGTTGTTTGGCTTCACCAGTATGTGCATCCCAAATAATTGTAGTCTGATATTAAAGAGAAAAGAAAATCATGTTGCTAAGGAGTTTATCAAAGATACACAAGTTAGATACCTAGCTCTATTAAAGCAACAGGAAATGTCAGCTTGGATTTACCTTTTAACACTTTATCTCAAGTAGTACAAAACAAGGCAATATTCTATTTTGAGGAAAAATTACTATAAAGCATTTTAAATTTTTCCCTGGTGCTTTTACAGACAAATTACTTCATATAACAATTACTGGTTGTCTACAAGGAACTGGGCATTATATTAAATTGCATTAAGAAACACTATTACATTAGTGTAGAGCTTAAATTTACATAAAAAGGCAACTTGAATTTTGATAATACTTAGTATCTACTATACATGTGATACGTAAATCTGAATGCATATATTCATAATTATTTTTAATACTTTCCTACCCATCACTAATTTAATAACTTTGGATATAAAGTATTATATTGTGGCAGTGACTATTAATGGGGTTTTTCCTCATTCCTGGCTTTCTTCATTTTTCTTTCTACATCTCTTTTTGTGAGAATGTGTAACATCACACTCAGTAAACTATGAGCATGGGTACTTTTTGGATTAAAATAATCTTAAACTTATATTCATTCTGGGAGATGTGGTAAAGGGAATGACCTAAGAAGGTGAAAGGCAGTCATATATTCAACCTATCCACATTTACTAGACTAGTTAGATAGAAAAAGCTGGAAAGATCCTGCATTTTCTTACATTTTTAATTAAGCACCAGGAGTTCAGCTAACAGACTAGCCATGATTTCTCATATGTCAAGACTGTTAGTCAGACCATGTCAGGAGACAAAGTTACTGATGAAATAAATCGGAAACTGTAGAGAGGAAGCAAGGCGTATGGTAGGTATGACATTCATTATGGCTCAAATTACAGCCAAAATGGGGAGTGGTCACAGACTTCCAATTATACTGTGTAACTAACACATTAAGCTTTACAGAGGATAATTTAACATTTTACCTTGTCTACTCCAGCACTTAAGATGAAATTTCCTTTCTTATTCCATTTTAATGCAAATATAGGGCCTTTATGTTGGCCCAAGGTGCTAGCAAGGTTACCTAATATTCCAAAAGAAAAAAAACAAAGTTACTACATGGTTTATAACTTAAATCAAATCAACAAATGAAAAGAAAAATGCTTCATTTACCATCTTTAGTCCATATCCTGGCAAATCCATCGTATGAACCAGTTGCTAGAAGTGTACCTTCACTCTGTAAGAGAAACATTTTTTTCAATTATACAATTCAGAAAAGGTATTTGTTTTGAAGTATTTCATTGTGTAAGTCCTACATACATTTTGTTTTGAATTTTTGACATTCTGTTTTGAATTTTTTCAGTTTTACCTATTTGTGTAAGTCACCAAAGGCTTATATCACAAATACCCCTAATGGTTGCAAAGCTAACCTTATGGCAACACTTAGCTTGCAATCGTAAAAAATGGCAGGAACTGCAACATGATCCTTATGCAAGCTCACGTTTACTGTATTCTCATGGTGATACAGTCTGACACTCATGACTAAAGATGGGGGGTAGAAGGGTGATGGACTGTGAAAGACATCAAAATCAAAATCTTACAGCGATTTAATAAAAGTAAAAAGCAAATTCTTCCAAAAGATTTCACTATTAGAAGTTTCTACAGGGGCCTCCCCTGGTGGCGCAGCAGTTGAGCGCTGGGCTGTGAGGCTGCCTGCAGCCTCTGCAGCGTAGGTTCAATCTCCAGCTGCCGGTGAGGGTTCCACATGGTGTGCAGACCTCTCCTGCCGCCCGCTGCTCCCCACAGCAATGTGTTTCATCAGTCTGCCTGTTCTGTTCCCCGCTCTGGCTCTGGTGAATTCTCTCACCCTCCCACGCTTCTGACTGTACCAAGTACTAGTATAAATAAATTAATTTAAAAAAAAGTTTCTATATGTTTCTCCATCGAAGTGAAGTGTATGTATGTGTAAAAAAACGCATTTGCATAACAATCCAAACAAAACTGTGGCTTCATTTCTGAAATTTGAATTCTTAAAGCTTGTACATGCTGATCTTGTGTTTTGCTATCCTTTTTTACTGTAAAACATAAATATATCAAAGGATATTTTTATTCTAAATATGATAAAAGAATTACACACACACACACACCCGAAAAACTGCCATTTCAGTTGATCAAATTCTTAAATTTCACTAAATCTCTTTCTCTGGTTCTTTCCCACTATGAAATCCTTACCAAAAGCAAACAAACAAAAAAGAGCCAGAGAAGACTATGGATGATGTTACAAAAATGAAGTAAGGACAAACTGCCTGGCACTACTTTACTGTAAGGAGAAATCTATACCAATTTATCTAGTCTTATATTCCCCGCTGTGTCTGACCTTAATCATGATACAAAAGTAGCACAGATATAACATATTCTATGGAAATACAAGTTAATAGGTACATTAAACAGTCTTTGGGTGGGGTGAGTAAACATTACTGAAGACACAGAAAGAAATTTTGTCATATTCAGCGCTTCCTTGATGCTTTCAGTAAGGGCCCTGTAAACAAGATTATCTTTTTCTGACCTCTCAAACCACTTAGGTGTACAACAGGTAAGTGACAAATGTTGGTTCAAGGGCTTGTAGACTCAGCTGTCCCAGAATCTGGAAATTCGCTGTAGCTCTATCTGAAGAATCATGCTGAAATTAATAGCAAAAGCCTATTTCCAGACACAGCACGAGAAGTTTTTTTAAACTAATGATCTCCAAATGTTTTAGTTCATAGACCACAAAATTAGGAAAAGAGTATTTTACTGATCAGATATCCCACAGGTTCTTACTTAAGCAATGGAAAAAGAACCACTAGTCCAGGATAATGTTTTCCCCTATTTTAGTAGAAGAGTCAAGTTCATTGTGAATAACATATTCTTGAAAAGTTCACTTTTTAAAATTATAACTTACAGTTCAGAATCATCAAGCTCAACCAATCAACATTCATTAAACCATCCTTCTCAGTATAAACTATAAATATCATTAAACTAACATGGTCTCTGATCCAGGTAGCATAATAAGGCTGGAAGGTCTTAGATTCAAGAAATATGGCCCCATATTATGAAGAAAATCCACATTCCTCCTTAGGGAAAAGCACTAACACAGTCCCCCACTACCACAAATTATGCTGCCAGCTTACCACATTTGGAGAAATCATAGGTGTCATATGCAGAGTGCAATGGATGAGCCTCACTCTGGGATAATCACCTTTGTGATCATATTATCTTCCTTTCCCAGTAAGGATAAGATTAATTCTTAGTCCTTACACCATAAGCAAACAATAGTGCAATGTACTAAACTTCTTTTCATTTTGAGAATCATCAACTATATAAAAGGGGGAAATACAATGCTAGAAATTTTGGAAGAAAATGCTAAAAACAAAACAAAACAAAACAAAACAAAACAAAAACCCTAGTTATGACTTCTAGAAAACTTTCATAAAAATGGAGTGGAGTAACTGTTTTAAAGGATAGATCTTATTCCTTGGAATGAGACTTGAAAGATCCTCTGGAAAGTCCCACAAAAAAATAGTTAACCAGACAGAGGTCAGATGAGGAAAGGATGTTTGTTCATTTGCTCAGAAAAGGAAAACAGAGTCTTAAAAGTTCTTGCTATACTGAAACATGTCAGAAGGATTCTTAGCATAAAGTAGATGGGAAGGAAAATTGGATGGGGAGGAAGAAGAGGATGCAAAGCTGTAAGAAAGTAAGAAGGTAATAAGGCAGCTTTAAAAATGCTAATTTTGCACAAGTTAATCTTAGGAATAGAAACAAACAGAGCTGTCAATCATGTATTTAAAACTGAAAGGGTAAAATTTTATTAACAATGAAATCTAACTTCCAAAGTAGTCAAGTCATCCTTGTAAGATTTTGAATCACATGTAGACTCAGGGGATTATAAGAATCCTACAGCCAGAATAAAGCTTGGGCATAATATACACTAATAATACACTACTACCCTTGAAAGGTAGTAGGAAAAGTTTGTACAGTTCACATCAAAGTGAGAAAAACAAGAACATGCTTTTAATTATATGTACTTCTTTTATCATCCAAAGGACATACTACGTTAAGGACTCAGTATAAAGCTATTACTGAATTTCATCTATAACCTCATTTATGTAGGCACCGTTGTATCACACTTCTAGTTCACATGTGAAGAAAATGAGGCACAGCATGATAGGCCACCAGTGTGATATAAGCTTATACTGCTAAACTGAAGAACGAGAATTTGGACAGTAGTCTGATAGATAGAGCAAGGGTCTGTCTTTGTTTTAATACTGCACTTGGGAATAGGGACTCCTACTTTGTTGTTCTTATTAGTTCGTAAAATTTGAAAATATCTGAACAAATGGACAAGTCCTGCCTTCAGTTTGCAGCTCAGAGAAGTTGAAGTATATCAGTAATTGCACCCACATCACAGACAATACAGACATACTCACATTCCAATCTAGAGATGTCACATCCTTGTTGCTGGGGACATCTTGCCCTCCTTCTCGTATACAATGTCTAAGTACTAACTGTGTGGAGCCACTAGTGCTATTTTCACTAAGATTCCATATTCTTGCTGTTGAGTCTCCAGACCTATAAAGTATGCAATGTATTTTAAATCATTGTGATATACTCATATATTCCAGAATCAAAGCAACATATTTACATCTTATCATTAAGGCAAATAAAAAAATAGACTATCAGGGCCTCCCTAGTGGCACAAGGGGTTAAGCACCGCACTATGAAGCAATCCACAGCCTCTACAGCACAAGTTCGATCCCCGGCTGGCCAGAGAGAATCCCACATGGTGGCAGCAGACCTCTCCTGTCTCGCCTGCTACTCCCCTCAGCAGTGTATTTCAGTCAATCTGCCTATTCTGTTCCCTGCTCTGTCTCTGGTGAATCCTCTCACCCCTCACATCTCTGGCCTGTACCCCAGCTCTGGTTCGTATAAATAAATAAATCTTAAAAAAAAAAAAAAAAGTAGACCATTAGGGATTTCCACTTTGCGTACTTTTCTCAGTCTCCACTCTAAGGGCTATAGGTACTCCTAAAGCAGTATGTTGGATTAAAGCCTTTAAGATTACTTTATGAAGTAATACATTTTTATAGAAGTAAAATGACCACAAATGAGCAACAAAAAACCGAAGACGCAAATAATATATATTAAAAATGTGTAAGAGTTCAGTGGCATAGCTTTAAAAATCCATTTTAGATTCACTTTAAGAAACATACCCAGATGCCAAGAGATCACTAACAGGGTTCCAGGCACAGATGAAAACTTCAGATTCATGGCCCCGTAACACAACTGCTTTATTAGGAGGAATTTCAACATCCCCATCGACCTCCATCATGTCAGTATGATTATCTGTGTCATGAGAAACAAGTGAAAAATTTCAGTTAGGTAATAAACACAACCTCAGCAGAAAAAAAGAACCCTTAACTGGTGAATACCTCCTTTATAATATATTATAAAGGAATACCTCCTTTATAATATACCTCCTTTATAGTATACAGTGTAACACCTTTTTAATGTTAAGTTATGGTGAACATGACTATGCAGTACTTAACACATGAAAAATAAATTTGTATCTTCAGCTAAGTAAGACCATACTATTTTTAAGATGGGCAGAGGGTATGGGGTGAGAGGACTACCAAAAGTTAGAACCAAACATGGCTAAACTGCTAATATATCCATGTCAATAGTATTCTGAGTTCTGGCCAGTAGGGGTTGCTGACATCATTTCTATAACATGAGAGTCGCCTTCATAGCTCCATGTCAGAGTTTCCTTGTTATTTGTTAATGAACAGTACTATAAATTTTACATAAAAATCAAACACACATGCAAAAGTTCATTTAACAGCAGAAAAATTGTTTCTAAATATCTTTAAAAGAACGCAAAATCCACAAAAGTAAATCTAGCTTTTTGAAGTTCTAGGAATAAAACTGAATTGTGTGATACAAGTTAAGAGAACAAGCTGACATATATGAAATAGAAGATGTAATTTCAGCTTAGACAATGCCACTATGCATGATGCAAAATATTCCATTTCTTCTGAAATGGAATTTAAAAAAATTCTCACTTGCTATAGTATGTGCTCCATTCTCTTCCCCATTTGCTGTGTTTTCTCCATTTTTTGCAGATCCTTGTTGGTTTGTGGCAGCTGCGGCAGCTGCAGCTGCTGCTGCTTGTTGCTGTGCAAGCTTATCTCTGTAAGCTTGTTGTCTTGTTTGTACTACATCAGGCATTACGGCATCTATCAGTGACAGAGACTCTATTGGTCGGCCATCAAACAAGGTACCATCCTGGATATGGAACATTATGTAGGAAGAAAAATCAAAGGTAACATCTAGGTAATTTGTATTCATACCAATGAACAGTAGAAATGAAAATCCTCACTCCAAGAAAAAACACTTAGATAATTTTCTGACTGATGCAAGGAGCTAAGAAATAAACTTCAAGAGGTAATTGCTAATGACTATTAAAATTTTCCCCTTAGTTCATATTGCTAAATGTTGTAAAGGATAAGTCATAATATTAAAAGGAATAATAAAAAGTAGGTCCAGACCACAGGGAGATTTAATTAGTTTGCAAATTCATGTTAGTCAAAGCAATAATAACCAATATGAAATAGTTCATCTCAACAATAAGATTCAGTTCCACACTATGGTTTCATTAAATTTATCTTTAAACTTAAACTTTTAAAATAGATTTGTTGGACTCAAAGTTTCTAGTGACTTGATTGAAATATTAAACACACAACAGTACCACCTGGTAACATGTAAGAAATGTAGACTCAAACCTACCAAATCAAAATCTATGAAGGGTGAAAGACAAGTTCTCTGGGGAAGTATTATGTGCACTAACATTTGAGAAGCACCATCATTCATAACTCACAGACTAACGCTACAATTTTCCTACATTTCTCTCCTTGATACTAGGATGTTCACAATTAATGAAAAGTTCTCCAGCAAGCACAGAAAGACACAGAGAAACAGAGCAAGTGAAACAGAAGCAGTGCAAATTAGCGAGGAATATGCATATATATGCCTGACTCACTTAGGCTGGTGAATGTGCACTAGGGACAATCTACAGTGGTATGATGGGGTGCTCCTCCTTAAAAAAAAACAAAAAAAAACACTGTATCTTTCAGAATTAATTATAATGGAGTATTTGAGAGGCAGGAGAAAGTATTTTCACTTAAAAAATAACTAAAAAACGTTAAAACCAACATGGATACACTGGAATACTATATTAATATCTATAAAAAAATTTTTCGGATAAAATGAGAACTCATCTCTGGCCCCTGATAGGTTATTACCCTCTGCAATAAAAGATACGTCGGGAATGAAAGGGCTAAGAGACAATGAGCACATATTTAAATCACTGTTCGTGTATTTCTTAGTTACAGAGATGATGAAACACAAACAGTGAAACCAATTTTAGTATAATATATAATTAGAATAGTAAATATTGGTTCATGTATTCTGCAGCTTTGAAAAATTTTGGAAAGTGGAACATGAAATCCAAATAAGGTAAAAAGCTCCATAACATAAATATGATATATGACCATATGGAAACTTTCAGCTAGACAGAGATTGCAAGCTCTTTCTTTTATCTGGTAAAAGAACAGATAGGAAATTATTTTAGGCCATGCAGACCCAGAACTTTACGTACAAAACTTGATGTACAAAAACAGGCAGAAGGCAGGATTTTGCTCCTATGACTGACCCCTAAGTTAAACTACCTAAATAAGTGTGGATCTTAGGCAACAGAAATCAAGAGTTCCTTTAATTATAAAGCTGTATTCCAAAATCATCTATAAATATACCATATGTAATAAAAATTAAAAAAAAATAAAAACCATATACAAATCTTACCTCATTAATACTAACTTCTGCCTCTACATACTGTAGCCCCTTCTGGATGATAGAAATCAATGCAGCAGGCGGGACAAGGGCACCATTTATGTTAGACTGACTGATATGGCTTTCTATACCAAAGGTAAATGCTGAATGAGAAAATCCTAAAAGCAAAAGCAAAAGAATTTATTCACCTAGTAGTACTATGTATACAACACAAATAAAACACTCCCATAATCTTGCAAAATCACATTCTATCCATCTGAAATTACAGACTAAGGTCAAATATATTTTTAAAAAATCAAAAGAAATATAAAAATCCAAACACATTAACCTTTATATATCTTCCTGTTCGCTTTATATAATGTATTAAATTTCTTCTGTATATGAAATT